TTTGGTACAAGGTCTCACTACACGGATTGTACTTAGAGAGCCTCCTGTTTTCAGCCTCCCAAGCGCTGGGATTGCAGGTGTGCACCACCACACCCAATCTCATTGGTCATCTCAGTGTGCCCGGGGGGCAGGCGGGGACAGCACGCCAGGCTGGGGATCGAACTCTGGTCTCTGCACCTGCCTAAGCAGGTGCTTTAGTCTGCTGAGCTCTCTGGCCGGCACTTGATACTTGTTGATAGTAGCCTCAATCCCATCCCTCTATACTTCCACTGTGCATAAAGGAAAGGCTAAATATTCACTTTCCTGGCAGCCACCGTAACATGTGTGACCTGGCTATACCCAGTCGGCAGTGGGGAAGTCAGCGCCCGGAGCTGCAGTGGTGTGGGCTGCTGTTTGGTTAGCGGCAAGTCCCCTTAGTAAGGGGTACAGAGTAGGTTCCTGTTCCACCCCTCCTGACTGCAATACTGGGCAGGAAAAGGAAAGGAAGAGGACCATGTGGAAGATAACAATGAAGAAAGGGAAGGTGTAGGGTCTGCCAAATAGCTCAGTGGATTAAAGTGCCCGCAAGCAGGCACAAGGACTGGGGGTTCAATCCCTGGGCCTGCTGTGCTGGCCCTGCCCCTGGTGTGCACTGAGATGGCTATTCAAACTGGGTGTGGTGGTGTGCATCTATAATCCCAGAACTCAGGAGGCTGTAAACAGGTGGATCACTAGTCTGACCTAGTAGTGAGACACTGAACACCCTGCAGACCCTTCCCTAAAAATACAAAAAAAAAAAAAAAAAAAAAAAAAAAAAAAAAAAAAAAAGAAAAGAAAAAAAGAAAAAAAGAAAAGAAATGGAAGGTGCAGGTGAGGAGCCAGCTGGTACCACTTGGGGACAGGACTGTGGGGCCCACATCTGGTCAGAGACCAAGTTACAGAATCAAAGGCATCAGAGTGTGGCATTGACCCCGTGGTGCCTGTGGCTGCCCAAGGCCTCCACAGATGCTCCCCACCTAAGGTGCAGATGGAGCCTGGGGTTTTCAGATGGACAAGTGGCGGGCGGGACTTGCAGGTGGGTGGGAGTCAGGACTGGAGGTGTGAGTCTTAGGACTGGAGATGCTAGCACTTTACTAACCATTCACAGTTAGAAGACCCCAGTACTTCGGATGTGACACCGCCAACTGGTGCATGAAAAAGTGCTCCACGTCATCAGTTGTGGGAGAAGTTCAAGTCAAAACCACATAGAGAGATCACCTCACAGCAACTAGGATGACTGCTCCCAGAAAGGCAAGAGACGTACTTAAGGGAAGGAACAGTCATTGCAAAAAGCGGTATGGCGGTCCTCAAACAATTAAAAAGAAAATGACCCTGTGTCTGACAATCTTACTCCTCAGATGTATCTAAAGGAAGGGAATCTAGTGTCTGGAAGAAACACTTCTCACAGCAGCCAAGACAAAAAGCTGTGTTTGCCAATGGTGAATGGACAGAGAAAGCATGGTAGATAGATATTCAGCCAAGACAAAGGATGAAATCTTGCCTCTCGCAATGATATGGATGAGCTTGTAAGACATATTATGTGTGAAATAAGCCAAGCCCAGAAACACAAGTCCCTCGTCCCTATACATGGAATATATTCCTAATTAGTGGAGGTGGCACTGATCAATGAATGGATGGAACTGTGTGGTACCTAAATGTCATGGAAAATTATTTAACCTTTAAAAGAAGGAAATCCTGGCATTTGGGACTACATGGGTTAACCTGGAGGATACTGTGCTAAGTGAAACCGCAAACAAGGCACAGAGGTGCTGTGTGATCTCATTCCTAGGCTTACATGGAGAATCTTAAAAAGTAGAACCGCTAAGAGTACAGAGCAGGGGCTCGTGGCAGAAATGGAGAGGTGAAAAAGGGCCCACACTTGAAGTGATGATGAGCAAAGTGATTGATAATGACCATGACGAACATAAGTGTGGCCTTGCATGCCTGTGACTGAAGCTATTCAGGAGGTTGAGGCAGAAAGACTGCAAGTTTAGGGTCAGTGTGGGCAATTTATGCTGCGTAAGTCAGTCAGTCTGTCTGTCTGCCTGTCTGCCTGCCTGTCTGTCTGCCTGCCTGCCTGCCTCCTGTCTGCCTACCTGCCTGTCTGCCCGCCTGCCTGCCTCCTGTCTGCCTGCCTGTTTGCCTGCGTGCCTGCCTGCCTGCCTGCCTGCCTGCCTGCCTGCCTGTCTGCCTGCCTGCCTGCCTGCCTGCCTCCTGCCTGCCTGCCTGCCTGCCTGCCTCCTGCCTGTCTGCCTCCTGCCTGCGTGCCTGCCTGCCTGCCTGCCTGCCTGTCTGCCTGCCTGCCTGCCTGCCTGCCTGCCTGCCTGCCTGTCTGCCTCCTGCCTCCTGCCTGCCTGTCTGCCTCCTGCCTGTCTGTCTGTCTGCCTGCCTGCCTGCCTGCCTATCACACATGTTTTCTCTCTGCCTCCTTCTGTGTCTCCCTCCCTCTGTCTCTCTCTCCCTCTCTTGCCCTTTCTCTCCTGGTTGTTTCTTCACTTGTTCCTTGTCTGGGGTCATCTCTCAAACTACCAGCACCCAAATCCAACAGGACTGCTCTGGCCTGATGCAGAAGCGACCCAAGCTAGACAGAGGTCCTAAATGAACGTAACATATGTTCATGCTAACAATGCTCTCTCCAGCAGCACACCATCGACGCCTCGCCTTCTCTCCCAAGGCTGCAGCATGGACAGGGACAGCAGGGCTTTGGATTTAGCCTCGCCTTCTCCCAGCTGATGCTTCACCCAGGTGAGCATCTGTCTCCTCTGAGCATATGACTATGTGAACACACGTGTGAGCACACGCACATAACACAATGTCCTCGAGCTGTGGTGAGCACGAAGTAGAATGATGTGTGTAAGGAGCCTTTCTGTCTTCACCTCACTATAAAACAGCTATGTCAAATTTAGGAAAGAAGATACAACTTTCTTCTCTAGCCCCTTTAATAATTAATTCTAACTAACATGGAATATGAATGGAAAGAACAAATAATGAGAATGTACTTTATGGTCAATACAAATCAGGGGCTGGCCAAATAGCTCAGCAGATTAAAGCACCCATAAAGCAGGTGCAGGGGCTGAGGATTCAATCCCCAGTATTGCCATGCTGGTCCCGCCCCCAGGACATGCTGAGACCGTGACTGAGACTGGGTGTGGTGGCACGTGCCTGTAATCCCAGCTCTTGGGAGGCTATAAACAGGCAGATCACTACGAGTCCTATCTAGCAGTGAGACCCTGAACACCCTGTAGACCCTTCCCTAAAATATGAAAAATAAAAAATAAAATAAGAAAAGATTAAAGGTCAAACTCATTCTCATGAGCTTAGTGTACAGAGAACTGCTCTCCTGGGAAGTATATAGGAATTTCTGCTCACTTGATTAGATACCCTTATATAGAGAGCTCTCAAGAATTATAAATCATGTTCTTGTGGTCTAGGACTGGGATGAGCACATAATAGATAATTCTGTAGATGCTGACTGCAAAGTTACCACGAATTGGCTTATGTATAAAACAACATAGGAGAAAAGTAGCATTCAACATACCAAGGGAAAAGATAGAAGCTCGATAAATTATTGTTATTCACAGTTATTACAATGCTTAAGATGAAGAATTAACAACTGTAACTCCTTCTCAATAGCATCCTACAGAGCACAGTTAGTGTTGGTAATTGGGTTTGAATCTGTTGTCCTATTTCTAGAAACTCACTTTTTCTTTTGTATTTCCATCTCTGTACACATTGTGCCCTGTCTCAAAATTCACTCATTTTCTTCAATCTGATTTAGAGCACCAAAAGATTTCCTGTTGACTGCCTTCATGCTTAATTACAAATCATGTCTGCAGCAGTTGGTTTATATTGAAAATGTAGAACAAAGTCAATATCCGTCTGTATTAAATCAAATGAAGCCAGTAAGATCACAGTCTCAATAATCAGATTTGGATCCCGCCGTGGATTTACAGCATTATTAGTACATGATTAGTTAGGACTTAATGCAAGCCAGCTCACACCCGACACTCGGGCTTCCTGCCTGCTGCAGAAGTGCTGTGTGCTGGTCCAGATCAGTTAAGAGCTCCACGTGCTGCAGGACATGCAGCAAACCTCGCCATCTGGCCCGGCAGCTGAGGTGGCTGCGTGGCCCTTGAAGGCGCCCAAGTGCTCTCCTGTACGGTGTCATGACTACGAGATCATAGCTTTCCTGTTTTCTTGGAAAAGCGCTGCAGAGAAACCTTCACACTGGCTGAATCTGTCAGCAAAGAGTTCCCTTACCTGAGGACCAGGCTGCCCCTGAAACGGAGAGGAGGAAAAAGAAGTGTTACTATACAGAATATTTTCACTACCAAGATAGTTTACAAAATCTTTACACAGTATTTCTGAAGATTATACTGCCTAATTATGGAGAAAATTTATGAATTTAAAAAAAAAAACACATTGGCTGGTTCAAGTGCAGTGGTGTTTACAACTAATTGGTCACAACCAGTTACAGATTTCTTTGGGGCTGGGGAGGTAGCTCAGGGGAATAAGCACTTCCCTGGCAAGCACAAGGGTCTGAGTTCAATCCCCAGTTCCACCAAAAAAAATAAAATAATAGAAAAACCACATCACATCTTAATATTTTTTACCCTATGCTATTTCTCCAATATCTGATGCTATGTTCTATTGTATATATGTATCTCCAAAGGGAATCACAGATTTTAGCATGTTCCAGAATTCAGCAGGGGAAGAGTCACAGAAATATCACACCTCACACTACCCTCACCAGTGGGTTACATCTTCCAGCACAGAATTTGTAGAGCTAGGTATTCAGGGTCATTTTAGAAGTTACTGAGTCACTGACTTCTTCATCATTTCAGTGACATTTTAATAAACATCTATGTTTTACTTTGCACAAACTTAAGGCATTTAAAAAGGACATGAGAATCTTTGGATCATTAAACAGCATTTCAACTTCTTGCCCAGTCAGCGGACTCTGTGAACTCAGGCCAATCAAATTTGTTTTGAATGAATGTCAACTTCCTATTGCCCATGATAATAATAGTTCCAAAGCAGTTCAATGGTGAACACTTCCAATTAAAGAAAGATCACCTGTTAGTAAAAGTATTGATTCCACACCAGCTTCTTCTAATCACAACTTGGACTTTGTGTCAGATGAGAGTAAGGTAAAAGTTCCCACTGAGCCTGGGAGTCCAAGAACAACGCGTGGTGACACTGGCCCTGCTGCTCCTGCTGGAGCACCACACTCGAGAACTCTTTGCTGAGCCTCTCTCCAGGATGGGGCTTTCTTCTCTCGGGACTTGGTCTCTAACTCCACAGTGATGAGCACACCTGAAAACTGGCAGGCTAGGTCTTATCCAGTAAGCCCAGGGAAGGGAGCGAAGCCAGTTACTGCCACCACTGCTCTCCACCCTGATCTTTAGTGGTGAAGAGGAAGGGAATAACATGCATTCATCATTCCTGAGTGCCAGGTGCCTTTGGGGATGGGGAATAACTGTTCTGCCTTTTGCAAATGGAGAAACCAAGGTTCAAGATGATAAGCGAAAGGCCGCACAGCCTATTAATGGGAGAGCCAGAATTTAACATCAAATCTGATTGCAGAGTTCATCATTTCCTAGCTGGCTGTTCTACACTACATATGGTGGCCAAGGTCGCTGTTATTTGCCAGTACACCAGGACCAAACTTCGTCTCAGAGTGGCTGTCCCACGAGCTAGGGCTCCACCTCCCCTGCTCCTGGGGCACTGAGCACTCTCCTGCCACTCCAGATCTGTGGGCACCCTCTTAAGTGATTCATACAAGCCAGACCCACAGTGCATTTTGAGGTACACAGACCTAAAACCAGCCCTAAAAACAGAGAAGTTTTCAACGAAGATCCTGAAAAGGTGGGGCTCTGTCCCGACAGGTCATGGGGACTCTCCCAGACCCACAAAGTGGACAAAAATCACAGAACGTGCATTCTTCCTTCCCTACCTTCCCTTTAAGGTCTTGGGGACTCTTGGGGGGTAGAGGTAATGTAGCTAGAGCCTTCACACTGAGCTAGACTGTTGTTAGTTATTTTGAAATCAGGTCTTCCTATGTCCCCAAAGTTACTCAGTCTGTGGCCACGTACCATCCTGCCACCTCAGCCACTGTGCCCGGTGTCCCTGTTCGCTTTAACTTTTGGGATTTTCTGATACTAAGAGTTAGTGCAGAGCTAAAAGTATGAATATACATTTTATTTTTAAATTTTATTTATTTATTTATTTATTTATTTTAGGGAAGAGTCTACAGGGTGTTCAGGATCTCACTGCTAGATTGGCTTTATAGTGATCCACCTATTTACAGTCTCCCAAGAGCTGGGATTACAGGCACCCACCACCACACCCAGTCTCAACTGCCATCTCAGCATGCCCCGGGGGCAGGGCTGGCATGGCAGGCCCAGGGATCGAACCGCTGGCCTCTGTGCCTGCTTGCAGGCACTTTTAATCTGCTGAGCTATTTGGCCGGCCCTTTGAATATGCATTTTATAGAACCCTAAAATATATCTCTTATAAAGTATATGAAAAATTAAAGTATGGGATTATTTAAAGCCAGAAGAAATTTCTTTAAGAGAATCTATTCAGCACTGTTGCTGAGCTTTTCTGATTCCTTCGGTTGTTTTACAAATGATAGAATTTCCCTTTTCATCTTTAAAATGGGGCCTATCTGCCACTGCACTGAACAAATGACTTAGCAAATGGGTGCACTTACGCTATTACATACAAATATGTGCTGTACTATGGATTTTAGCTTAGTGAGAACAAGTAGTAATAATTTAAAAAGTAGAGCTCTGTAACGACATTGGTAAGTTCATTAGCACCCGGGACCCCAACCACTCTGCAGTGTGACAGGATCTCCGGGTCTGTGTGACACGTGAGAGTGTGGACGCCTGGGGGCGGGGGGGGGGGAGCACTTTCCAGAGAAACAATGTACACAACATGCCCAACTTAGTGACCCTGCCCTAGACACAGGAGTCACCATAAGCCACGAGACTCACTGAAACCTCAGCGACTATGCGATGGGACAATCGAGTCACTAGCAGATGCCTGCCACAGCCCGAGAAATGACCTGGCAGCAGGAGTCCTGCAGTCACCAGGGGAGCCATCTGGTCCCAGCAAGGTGGACGGGCCAGCGTCACCGCATGGTGCGCACAGTGGGCAGGGGAGAGGGCAGGCCGGGGCCATCAGGAAGAACATCTCAGGAATGCCCTGATGACCAAGGACACTGGGTGACAGGATTTATCACCTGGCTAATTGCCAAAAGCATTCTCTCATAAGTCCCTTCCAGTGGTCCAGAGAGGCTCACCAGGAAGTGGGAGCTCTTTCACTCATTAGCGGGTGTTTTTCTAGTTCATTCTGATTTACAGGTAATGAACATGATTAACTGAGAAAGTTGACTTTTCTCAGTTTTTTAGAATATTCCCTAAGTGTATACTTATAAATTATGATGAGTGCTCACCAAACACATGGGAACTTGTGTTTTAAAGCATGGAATTACTAAAAGGGACCTTCTCCCCAGAAGCAAATCACCAAAATGCTCTACAAATTAAAACGCTGTATAACCCAGGGCTGAAGCCAAGACAAACAGTTAAGACTCAGAAACACTGTGGTCAGGACACAGGCCTAGAAGACAGCATTGAAGGGTTAAAGTCACCAACTTGCTGTCCCTCAACAGCTGAGAAAATGTCCCCACAGCAGCTTGTGCACAGGCGAGAAGGAAGAGGTGACTTCAAACCTGGAATCAGAACAGGGCATTGGATAACAACGGCCAGTAGCCGATGCCTGAACCACGAGAGGGTCCCAAGGGAGTGAGTCACATGGACCATGATAAATGAGCCCATCCGGTCGGCCTCGGGGGCACGTGTTGCTCCTCCAGGCAATTAAAGAGCAATAACAACCTTCTTTCTTGGGCTGTTTGCACAATTAGGCTGTCAGGAAGTGGTAGCGCTCTTCACCACATGCACAAAGTCATTTGGATATCTAATTGAAGCTATGAGTTTTGCTACAAGATAACATTTTCATGGATGATAAATCTGGGTCCTTCCATTCAGATAGGACAAGTTGTTTTTCTTTTCAACTTAACACACACATAATCAGGGATCCACAAAGTGTTGTCTCAGAATACTATATTATTGTGGAATGGCCAGGATAAAAGACTTGCATGTATCTATTGTGACTGATTTTACAAACCCTTTCCTCTCCAAAACCTTGAGAGAATATTAGTATTTGTTTGTGCAACTCTGAAAGCTACTTTCTCGATTGTGAGGCAGCTGCAAAGAAATGGCCTTAACATCTCTGCTTAACTGTTACTTTTATTTCCGCAGGCTAGGATTTCTATGTATTGTATTTTCCTACATTTAAAGATGTTTCTTTGTTCTGCATCTCAGAACACTCGCTGTCCACAATGTTTCACTCAAAGGTGACTGTTATAATCTCACTATCTCCTAAAACTTCTCAGACTCACATACTCTCATGTTCAGCTGATTTTTCGTTTCAGTAGAAAACAGTATGTGTAATAAGAATCTGGTGAAGGTCTAGAACGTGGAGTGACACAGGACTCCTGCCGTGGCACAAGTCCTTCCAGGACCCACAGGAATCCTGTTGTATGCAGAATCGTCCAATGGCACGAGTCACTTAGCCTTTGCGGGGTGGCTTGTCAGCAGCGTCATGCTTCCAGCAAGGGGAACAGATGCCCTGTGCACCGGTGGCTGGGGCAGCAGCGAGCTGCCAACCCTCCCTGCACCAGGACTTTACTCATGTTTTCATGTCCAGTATCCAAGGTCCAAACTCTCGGAGGCTTCCAAAGCAGCAGATAGACTGCTGTAAACAGAAAATACTCTGAGTGGCCCCAAAAGGTTGAGCGTGATACTGTTTTCACTTGTTTCTTTGTGAGACAGGGCCTCAATGTGCAGTGCAGGCTGGCCTCCGACTCGTGGTGCTCCTCCTGCCTCGTCTCCCAAGTACTAGTGGTACATAGAAGCACAACAATGATGGTCTTAAAGAACCATTCTTATGTTATGCGTCAGATTTTTGAAAAGGTAGACTCTACAGGCCATATTCTGGAGGGTGATCTCTTGGCTTTTGCTCACTGCAGAATGAAAACAGTGCCTTATTCAGATCATAAACCTGGACTCAGCAGCACAGACCACAAGGACGTCAGCAGGGGACACAGATGTACCACGCAACAGCAGCCGATGGTCTGTCTGAAAGAAACACCTCTTCCTAGATTGATTAAGCCCACTCATCCAACTACTAAGAAAAGAGTCTCTCAAATT